AGTAGTTTTTAAGCTTGCAAACTCTGACATTTTGCGCTACTGCCCAGAGCAACACTTTATTCCGTAACTTCCGTATTCAGACAATCAAAACTGAGTTTTCAAAGTAGAACACTGTGCCAGTCTGGCAGGTTCATTTTTATTACGGGAACCAAATTCTGTACACATCAGAAGTTAGGATACTTGTGGCCCAAACTTGGCAAGGTTACTGGGGGGGGTCAGTCTCTGGGGCCTAGATTGTAATTCTGTACATGAGAAATTGTAGATTGACAAGGACTGTGCTCTTACAGCTCAGTCCTCCTATTTGTGTTTAGTTGGACATAAATCCCACTGTGTCCTATGGGCTTACTCTCAAGTAAGTGTGCATAGAAATTGCATTATCCTACCAAATTGTGGGCAGAAGATTGCAGCCTAAGTACAGTATATAGGTGGTGTACCTGCTTGGATCTGCCACACAGTTTTCCATTTAATATGTGCGCTCCTTATTCCATTGGACAAATTTGGGCTTTAATTTTCCAGTGCTTTCAAGCAAAGTTACAATCCTTACTCAGTTTGAAAGGCACCCAAACATTGCCAGCATAATCTTCAAAACCAGCTTCCTCATTCACTCGTGAATTATTTACAATTTGTTCTTCATTGTTCACACAATCCCAGAGCGAGGAACAACATTAAAATACAATAAAGCATTTTTTAAATGCAACAATATGAAGTCAACCTATAGAGCAACATAACTACATCAGCCATGTGAAGGGTACCACTTTAAATAAGTGCATGGGTGATTAACCACAGTTTTTACCTAGCTTCAGAGGTCCATTAGCACTGGCATGTGTGTGCCTTTTTTAATATACTTTCATCCAAATGTTGCATTTGTTCAGATTCCTGTCATAATCTAGAGGACATTTAAACATTTATCATTTTCACAGACTTTTTGCTCAGATTGTTAAAGCACCTTGTAGTGTGCCTTGATTTCTTAGAGTATAACATTATAATGCAGCTCAGACCAAATATTGGTTGAGTATTAATATTTTTTAGAGTTACTAATTGCGTTAAATGTTTGGTAGAGTATATTTTAATTTCCATGTTTCTAAAGTTGTTAATATATTCACTTTTGCTTGGTAAATAGAGACAAGTACTTTTACTAAAAGATAATTTTTTCATTGTCCTGCAGAGTTTTACCACTGTGTGGCACCAAAGTGCTAAGAAATGTACTCTTAAATTTCTCACCTACCAACAATACCATTTTTAAAATTTAAAATAGTTTGCAAAATATGTCATTTATACATTGCCTTTCTGCCAGAGATCCAAAAAACCACAAAGACCAAATCCTCTTAAAGTTAGCAGTGACAAATCCAAAAGTGACTTGTTTTTCCCCATCATCCACTCCGCCCCTTGGCATCTCTGGTAATCATCATCATCATCATTTTATAATTTGTATCCCACCCATCTGACTGGGTTGCCCCAGCTACGCTGGGCAGCTTAGACTGGGCAAACCACTTCCCATGGGAGTAGATGTAAGAAGTCCCAGTTTGGACTGAAAGGCTTTTTTAAAGAAGTCATGCCTAGGATGTATGATGTACTGAATGAATAGGTCCTTATGCACAAATTTAAAGGTGTAACAGAGATAAAATACCCACGGGTTCTTGGTTTCAGGAATTATACACATCAGTGGTGACCCAGGCAGATTCTAATGCACAATAAACTGTGGTATGCACAAGTTTAGGGAGAGATAATGGTAGTTTGTGTGGTCAGATTTCCATTTATTTACAAATATGAATCATAGAATCGGAAGGGACTCGTGAGAGTGTAAGAGTTTTTTTTTTTTTAAATCCACATGGCTGCTCTTGCTAAAAATATACACAACCACCACAAAATGAATGATAGAGAAAACAGTAGGAAGAGTTTGGTTTCCTTAAAATCTGTTGGTGAGCAACAGTAATCTGAAATGTGGGAAAGGCATTTTCCTTTCACAACAAATTCTGAGTTCAGAATTTACTACTGCCTCTAACTTCAGCCATACCACTGGAATGCTTGATGCATGAGCAGCAATGGAAGGCTGCTTTGACTTCTGTACAGTTCAGTTCCTTAGATCTAAAAATGCATTTAGTAGAACAAAAATGATACTCGGAGCACATTGGATCTCTTACTGCCTTTTTGAAAGGCACATTTGAGGTGTAAGTGTTGGTGCTGTACACAGCACACGTTTGGTTGATTCATATGGTCTGGTCTTGCTTGGTGGTGGCCCAATTCTGATCAGTAGAATTCTGATCCAGTACTTTTACTTAGTACTGGAGAGTATTCTGTGGGTTTTGTATGTAAATGTCTTGTTAAATTATATCCCCGTACTATAGGATTTGACAGAAAGGCAGTGTAAGTGCATTAATAGCAGCAAAAATGCTGCTCCAATACTGGAAGGAGCATTCTCCATATCCAGTGTGAAGATACATCTATGCTGGCAGTGTACCCAAAAAGCAACCTTTCATAGACAGCAGAATTCTCTTATATGTGGGCTCCATACACAGACTTTTGTGTAGAGAGATGTTGTTTTTGTTGTTCATGACCCCATGGACCAGAGCACGCCAGGCACTCCTGTCTTCCACTGCTTCCCAGTTTAGTCAAACTCATGTTGGTAGCTTCAAGAACACTGTCCAACCATCTCATCCTCTGTCATCCCCTTCTCCTTGCAGGCACGATATTGTGCCAGGAAACCACTACTGCAACAACAGTGCTTAAAAAGCTGACCCTTGAGTACATTATTATTATTATTATTATTATTATTATTATTATTATTACTGTAGTCCTATTGTAGCTGTGACTTGGCACAGAGAGTAGCACAATGCTTGCATTGGGAGAATATAGTGCTGGGCACTGACCAGAGTGAAACCAGAAAAGGTCCTAGGAAAAAATAACAGGGAAATACACTCAGAAACACATCACATAAAAATGTCCTTAAATGAGAAACAACTTTATTGAGAAGTTCCTTTCTCAACTGTTTGATTGATAAATCTCTTTATGCTCTTGGCCTCAAGTCTTCAACGCTCTGGGGAACTGGCAAGCAAAAAGAAAGCAGCACACTTCAGTCTGTAGGATTTATTATGAGCAAGATAAAAATGGCAGTGTTGCATGAAAAGGAAAGAATGCCTGCACACAAATGGGGAAAATTTTGGCTGTAGTTACACCACCCATGACTCTTTATTTCCATTTCCATTATCGGGGAGTTTCACACGGTAGTTTAGAGTGAACTGAGTGCTGCTGCTCTTGCGTAAAGTGTTTTGTGCAGTGTCCACACAGTTTCGACCTCATCAAAATGCTGTTGCATATCTGGATTTACTGTTTCAACCAAAATAAATAAATAAACCAATAAGCAACGCCCCCACTACAGAAATGATAAATTGTGATTTACGGTAATGGGGGTGTGTGCGCAAAATATGGAATGGCATTTTGTTAAAGACAAACATTTTGTTAAATGTTATGTGGACAACAAACAACAATTCATTATTTGTAGTTTCTGTAATTCTGTACAGAGTGTTACATGGCACCCAATCTCTGAGTGGTATGAGATCCCAGGGGTTTCAGACACTTAGCCAGGATTCGTGTTTCCTTTGGGAATAAGGCACAATGGAGACTGTGGTGCTTTTGTGATATATGGTTTATAACCTGGGCTTACAATTGAGGGGTTCATAGCAAAAAGGTCTTGTTTCTCCCATAACCACAGCCTTGGATTCAAACAGAAGACAAACGTTGCTCTGCCTGTTTCTCTGGCCTGCTGCTTTTTTGCTCCACTGCCACTCAACTCTGACTTTTCATTCTAATTAACCGTTGCAGGGTGAGTGGGTGGTACCCATTTCTATCTTGCACAGAACCCCTTTCCTTAGTTCTCTTAATAATGGCCCATCACCCAAGCAATTGCCTCATCAAGAAGATAGGCTGGCTTTTATTTTAACACTTGCTAGATTCAGGGGCTAGAAAGGTCTTGGCGTACAGCCTACTTCCCCAAACTTGTAACACTAGGAAGAGTCTTATATATCAGGCATGTCCAACCAGTCGATTGCGATCTACTGGTCGATCACTGTCCGTCCCTGGTTGATCCTGGTTGATTGCGTGATCCTGATTGATGTCCCGCCCCTGCCCCCCCCAAAGAATGGGTAGATCCAATGGGTAGATCACTGCCAGTTTTTTTATAGTGGGAGTAGATCGCAGTCTCTTGGGAGTTGGACATGCCTGTTATATATTATTTTTTAAATAAAAAAACCTTTGTATATCCAAAACCTTATGATTTTCATCCAAGTCCCTCCTTTGAATCATATAACTCAGCTGGTAGAGCATAACTTTTCATCTCAGGGCCATGGGTTTGAGGTCCATGTTGGATGCGTTGCAGCGGGTTGGACTTAGATGACCCTCATGGTCGCTTCCAAATCTACAATTCTATGATACTGTACTACCATCTGTGAGGAAGCAGGTGCTGACCAGAGAAGAGGCTTTTTTTGGTGGTGCAACCATTCCTATGTATTGGGAATGCTTAGATCACCTTCAACAACTTTCCAGTTACAGAGGAAGACTCTGTTGTTCTTGTTGTTGTTTCAAAATGCCCTTTCCTCATCCGCTGGAGCTGGTTTTAATTACTGGTAGCCCTCATTGATTTGATGTCGCCAGTTCCCTGTTGCACGATCAGCGACAACAAAAACCTTCACCGCCTTTGGATTTGCCTCGGATTTATCCTTTCAGCTTATGCTGAAAGCGGGCAACAAAATTTGCTGGGCAACCTAGCCCTCCAAACTGACGTGGGAGCTTGGTGTGGGCTTGAGACTCTGAAAACCTCAGGGTCGTGGGTTCGAGCCCCATGTGGGGCAAAAGATTCCCGCATTTGCAGCGGGTTGGACTTGATGACCCTCCAGGTCCCTTCCCACCATTCTCGAGATTATTTTTTTCTGGTAAAGAAATGATACACGATGATAGCCAGGTTCGGCAGCCTAAATTCATTTTTACGCGGGGGGGGGGGCTATGTAAGGAAGGGCCTAATTTCTCCTCAGGCTCGGGCTGCGCGCGTGGCGCAGAGCTGCGCGTCGGCCAGCCCTTTCGCGCAAGTAAAGCGGGCGAAGCAGGCAGGCAGGCCCACTGAGGTGTCCCGCCCTCGGCCTCTCGTGGGCGAGTCCCGCAGATACACGGCGGCTTCCCTCAGCCCCGCTCCGCTCGCTCCCCCCCCCCCCCCACGTCGTGGTGGTTCCTGCCCAACTCCTTGCCCCCTCAGCCCCAAGAAACCGCCATCCCGGCCCGCTGCGGAGAGGCTGCCGAGCGCTCCCAAGCCCCGCCTTCCACGCCCGCTGAATGGCCGGCGCGGCTGCCGCTCAGCTCAGGCCCCTTGCCGCCTGCCGGCCCCCCACGGACCGCGGGGATGGTGCTGGTGGGACAGGCGCGGAGGGAGCCTTGGGAAGCGAGGCGGCGGCGGCGGCGCTGCTTGTGAGGGGCGGCTGAGAGACTTCGTTGAGGAGGCGGAGGCCGCCCGTCCTCCTCAGGTTTGGCTTAAGTTGTGTTTTTTTGGGGGGTGGGGTGGGGAGCCTCCCTTTCCCCCTCTTCGGGGGAAGTCGAGAGACTTTTAGGCGGAGAGGGGGAAGTCATGCCTCTTCCCTCCAACTTTCGCCTTCTCTCTGCTCTTCCCTTGGCCCAGCAGGGAAGCTGCGGGAACTCCCAAGCTTTATATATATATAAAAATTCCCTCGCTGCTGCTGCTGGATGAACTTTCCTCTCTTTCTCTCTGCCTCTGAATCACTGTCTGGTCTATCCGTGGCGGGGCATCAGGTGGGCACCTCAGAAGTTAATGGCTGGGCGCCCACAGCAGCGCCTCTGAGCGCGCAAAGAGTGCCTTCGCCTCTCGTCGTCAGAACAAGCAGCTCTGCCCCACATCTAGGGGGGGGGGGAGAGAGAGCTGGGGCAGTGAAGTTCTAGCCCTTTCCAGACCGCTGATGGGGAGCTGGATGCCAGGGATAAATCGGGCTGCCTGCATGCCCAGCTGCTTCAAAAGTCCCTGCAATCCTGCCAGATGTGCATTAAAGGATGCTGGAGGTAAAGGTGGGAAACACAGTCAGAGGTTCAGGGGCTTAGGTCTGCCCCAAAGGGCACACAGTCTGCCTCCTGTGATGATGATGATGATAATAATAATAATAATAATAATAATAATAATAATAATAATAATAAAAATTTTATTTATATCCCGCCCTCCGAAGCCGGGCTCAGGGCAGCTAACAACACTAAAACAGTGCAACAACAACACTAAAACAGTGCAACAACAACACTAAAACAGTGCAACATTATGGTAGCATGAGGACTACTTGTGGTTAGGGGCATAGGAGCCATCTCCTAGGGACCAAGGTCTATTTGGTGGCCACCTAAAATATTTTAAGGGTTCCCCCCCCTCCCCCCGTGGATGGGCATTGCCTTTCAAATGGTGTGTGTGTTTTGCATCATGTGATTGAATATGCAGGGTGGGTCATACTTGGCCCCTCAATATTTTATTCAAGTTGGCATCCCTGGCCAGGGGAAAGGCACTCTGTACGTGCTCGGTGGTCTGTTTATTTAATTGTTTGTCTATCCCAGAACCAAGTCCTGATGGATAAAACAGGTTGTTTCCTGGCCCTGATTTGTGCCCTGTTAAGCATACTGTTTTGCGGGTTTCATAGCTTTGAACCTTGTTTTTTCCACAATCGTCTGATTTCTGATTTTAACTTTATTATATAGTTTTATGTACAATTGTTGTGAATGGCTCTGATTTTCTCTTTAATGAATAGCAGTATGTAAATATTTTTAGGACTAAATCTCCTGTGCGGGAAGAGAACAGAGACTAAAGTAGCACAGAAAGCCCTTAACATCACCATCTGCAGTGTACAGAGCCTTCACCCTGAAAACCCACCCCCGAGATTCTTCTGCTCCTCATGCTGGCCAAACTCCCAGAACTCTGAACTGTACTTGAGCTGGGAACATGGTCAATGATCTCTTGCTTTATGATAAGGGGAAAGCTGCAATTGCAGGGAAATTTAAAGGAGCCCAGTGCAAGGAATGATATGGCATACCCTTTTCATTGAGTCTCTATTGGGTAGTATATAAAGTTTATAAAACATCACAGACTGCTTTACCAAAATCCAGATTTGGGGGGGGGGGGATCTCTCAGGATCACACGATCGACCAGGATCAATCAGGGATGCCCCACGACATCAAGTCTAGTACTGTATATGAAAACAAAACAGTGCATTTAAGTGCCTGCAGTAGAAGTAGGTAATCACCACTTGGTTATCTTTCCATTATATATTTCCATGTACCGTATATGACAGGGTACTCAAGAGTCAGCAATAAGAAAAGTGTTAGCTAGTGGTATCTTAAGTTTCTGCATGGACAAATCCTTGCCATGAACTTCAATGCCACAGTGTTACACCACTGAGCAATCATCTACATTTCATATCACTACCTTATGGTTTCAGATAGCTTGCAGGTAGCAAATTAAAACTTCTACTTCCAGTTTTCTGTGTGGAATGCTAGAAATGCAACACTTCATTTTAAAGAGGTGTGTTTTAAAGAGGTGTGTTTTAAATCACATTTTAATATCCCCTCATGTGAAAAGGATGTGTCTCTTGCTAAATGGGGGGAAATGACCTACTATAATGAAAAGTTCTTCTATTTTCTGTTTGTTTACATTTTGTGTTGGGAGAGTATTTTGGGAAAAACCCTGACCTCACTGAAGTAATTGGATGCTTTTCCTGCAATTTAAATAGGAACAAATTGTCACTCCCTTCTGGCTATAAACTTTCATTTATAGAGTTACTGACAGTTCCATTCCTGTTTCAGGTTGGTGGATCTTCAAGTCTGGATCTGCTTCCTTTGCATTCTGATGCCTTAAATGATCAGTTAATGCATGTTTTTGCAAAATATTAGCCCACTGCATAATGCCACATGGTTTAATGTAAAATATGAAAATGAATTCCCATATCAATATCATGACAGCTAAACCATCCCAATATATTCAAGCAGAAATAAAATATTTAATTCTTATATATATATCCTTGCAGTATATATAAAGAACTTAGCTGAAACAGATTTGTCAGAATTATTGTATCATGCCGTAACTTGTAACCTAATGTTTAAGGAACTTAAACTTAGAATCCTGTACAAGGGAGTAAGCCCTACATAATGTAATAAGACTTACCTCTGAGTAAGCATATATAGGACTGCACTGTTGGTTTATAAAAGCTATTTACTTTAAAAAAGAAAAGGAGGGAAAATGTGTGTAGGTTCACAATGCTGAATCAGAACACTTAGCCCAGCCAAAGTGATGAACTCATTTATTTTCCCTTGAGGAATTGAACAAGAGACGGGAAGTCATTGACTCATAAATAAGATCATTCAGTGCAATTGTAAACAGCATATATTGTGCCAGCAAATATTTCCATAATCCTTTGCTTTTTGGAAAATGCAAAGCAAATAATTTGCTGGAATTATAACTAACAAAACCCTCACAATAATAGGGTCAATTTCAAGCTTTATATGAGTGATATCATATTTATATCTCAGTTAAATGCTTGAACACTGAAAAATTCTACCCTCTTTGTCATGTTCACTGGGACATCTGCAGAAAGTTTATTCCAGGCATAGGCAAACTCGACCATCTAGATGTTTTGGGACTACAACTCCCATCATCCCTAGCTAACAGAACCAGTGGTCAGGGATGATGGGAGTTGTAGTCCAAAACATCTGGGGGGGGGGCAAGTTTGCTTATGCCTGCTTTATTTCCACAAACTTCAGTTTCCACCTATGTAGAAGCTCTGAAAAGCCAAAAACATTCTTGATACTATTTGTTGGTAAGTGGTACCGATTGTTTTTGGTAATTATCCTTGAGATCTTTAGAACTCAATTTTAAAAAGAAAACAATACAAATGAAATTAACACAAACAAAAACTCAGAAGGGAAAGTTAAAAGAGGAAAGAGGAGATGATTCATCCAAATTGTATTGGCAAATGTTGAACTGAAGTACTCTTACAGCAGAAGTGCTGTTAGGAGGGGACCCAAATCCCAGGTCCTTTGTACTGGGCCTCAAACCTCCTGCATCCCCATTTATTTAAAAAATAATAATTAATATTTTACTTTGCTTGCAAGCAGGGGTGCCAACTTGAATAAAATATGGGGGAGAGGGTGTCAGGTAATCAGCCCTGCCCCACAGAATCGATCACATGATGCAGCACGCACACCATTTGAATGCCAATGCCCATCAATTTTGTGGGGCCCTCAAATATTTTATGGGGGGCTGAAAGGACCTCAGCCCCTAGGAGTTGACATCTATGCTTGCAAGATTTCTGGGTGTGCTGTAAAGTGCAATTCAAGTAAGACCCCAACCCCCACCATCTTAATTTGATTGAAGACTTAAACTTTCATCTTTACATATGAATTACTGTACAGTCCTGTTTCAGAAGGTTTTTAAATGTTTGATGTTTTATTATGTTTTTATATGTGCTGGAAGCCGCCCAGAGTGGATGGGGCACCCCAGCCAGATGAGCGGGATATAAATAATAAAATTATTGTTATTATGACTAGCATATGCAAATATGTGTTAAGGGTCTGTTGTGTTACTGTATTTAGTTCCTAGCAGTGCCCCTGGTTACAGCCACGTGAAAGGTGGAAAGTAGAGCTTATGTTCCAAACTTTTGCTAGGCCTGATGCAGTACAGCGGTACCTCTACTTACATTCACCTCCCGTTACGTATCCTTCGGGATATGTGCGCGGCAAACCCGGAAGTATTTTCCGGGTTTCGCCACGCTCGCATGTGCAGGATGCGCTCTATGCTCCGCGCTCATGCACAGAAGCGGCATCTCAGGATACACACAGCTCAGGATTCGACTGGAGCTCCAGAATGGATCCCGTGCGCAACAGGAGGTACCACTGTAATGGAATTTTATTTTTATCTACCTGAACAGAAAAGAGCACTGACTAGTTGTTTTACAGTGCAAAGCATGTTTATGCCCTTAGAAGTAAGACTAGCTAACTAACTTTTTTTTTTTACTAAAGAGCCAAAATGCTTTAAATAGATAAATAACTGACAAGTTCTAAATAATCTAGGTGTTAACCCTATAACAGTTTTTGTTGGAAAATATTGAAAACTGTTGTACATGTAAATAATGTGGTAGATAATTAAACATTCTTTCAGCCAATAGTTGTTTATCTTGATTGTCTTTTTCTCGTTGGTTTCATGATAGAAACAAGTGATATCTGGCAAGTGTGATCCCTCAATACCTTTAAAAGAGCTATAAAGATCTATTTTTCACCTTGGCTTTCAGTGGCTCACCAAGAAAATTGTCGTTCTATATTTACTTGAGTCTGTTAATGCAGTTTGTAAACTGTTTCATGAGATTTTTTATTTTGCTAAAAAGTGGTAAACATCCATTAAATAGGAGTGTGTTTGTAGTATCATTTGCTTTCAGAGGAGACACAGGTACCTCAGCACAGAGTGCCTTCCGTCAGCATAGGCTGTTGGCTCAGCTACAACTCTATTTGGATAGTGGTAACTTGTCAAAGCTTTTCTATGGCTGTTATGGAGGTTTGTTTTGTGAATTTTGTAATTTCATGCGTTTTTGTGTGAATGTATTGATATTATAATGTATTTATGCTCATGTTTTTAAATATGCTGTAAGTTGCTTGGAGACCTTTGTGTAACTAGTCTAATAAGTAATAATAGAAACATTAATTAGTTAAACTGGATCTTTTAAAGTTGCAGTTTAGATATGAAATGTCCAGAGTAATAAATGGGTGATATTTCCTAATCCATCTCTTGTCAGTGGAGCTTATCGGTTTGCAAAATGATTTTACGGGAAAGATTTGTACCTAGCCCCAACTCAATAAGTTGAGATCAAACACTGGAACGTTATACTGTATGTGTATGATCTCTCTTTGGATCTTACTGAAGTTGTTAAATAAAATTGTAGTCCTAAATGCACTGTATTTTTATGTTGTGAACCACCCTGAGATCTACAGATGAAGTGGGGTATACAAAATTAATAATAATAATAATACTGGAGAGCAAACATTGAACTTGGTAGAACTTACCACAGAGTAAACATGTTTACTATGCTGTGTTTTATGATATTTAGGAACACCTTCTATATGTGTATAAGAATAAAGAAACAATTATATGGAATATTAAATAGCTTGTTTTCCCCTTTCACAGCATAAATATGGCAGAGCTGCTAGAGTTTGAGGGAACTATAAACTGGAAAGAAAGATGCATAGCTCTAGAATCCCAGCTGATGAAATTTCGCCTCCAAGCAAGCAAAATTAGAGAGTTGTTAGCAGACAAGGTAGGTCTTAAACCGTCTTAATAAAATAAAAGTTATTGTTTTTAAAGAATCTATAATTAAATCATGTTCCAAATAACTTAATACATGTTTATTGTGTGATCAGGTTTATCTGGCTGTGGTAATCATTAGACTTTTATTCAAGTGTCCTCTTATTAATATATTTATTCCTAAAGAAAGTATTTGTGGTTTTTAAAGAAGAAATACTGTTCTATATAGGAAGCAGGATTATGGTGGTGTATAGTCTCAATCAAACTAAGAAGATTCAGGTGTAAAATTAGAATCCTACATGCATATCAGTTGCTGAATGAGGAACTGGTACACTTTCCAATGACCATTAGCATGTGTATGTATCTGAATGTGAATGCTGTCTTTCCACAATACAGTTCTTTAAAGAATATATTCATTTGAACACACAATCATATTCTGACACGACTCATCATGCTTACATTTTTCGTACAAGTAGAGCTGCATCTGACAGTAGACAGTTGAGCATGTTTTCTTGTCATGGACAATAACAGTTCATTGTAAATGTGTGTGTGTGTGTGTGTGTGTGTGTGTGTGTGTGTGTTCTGAAGCTAAAATAAGTTTGCAAACCTTTAGCTATTAAGGATATTTGATTTGTATAGTATTTCCTGTTTCACAGATAGGTTTTTATATAGCCATTTGGACTGCAAGGGTGGTCTGCTGCTGTTCCAGTTGGCAGGGAATATAGGGGAGAACAGTGAGCAATGCAAAATCAGCAAAGTGCTGAAAATGTAATTAATTTCACATAAAGAACTGAAATAATATTTGAAATAAGAAAGGCCTCTTTATACCAGGGGTGCAGAGAAAGCTCATGAGTCCCTTCCATTTCTCATACAGACTAAACATGTTGGTTTAAGAAAGCTATAGGGAGAATATTTCCCATCCTTTTTTGCTGGCAGACCACAATACTGTATGATTCAAACAGACAAAGACTTGTGTCTCCAAGGTGTAAAGGATGTGCCTGGATGAATCTACTCCCCTGACCTATCAAGCAAAACAAACAAGATAAGCTGCAGTATCTATGTCTGAAGGCAAAACTTATCACTGAGAGAAATTTAATAGAGGGGTGCCGAACCTGTGGCCCCCTCCCAGCTACAACCTGCATGGTCAGTGGTTAGGGATGTTGGGAGTTGTAGTCCAGCAATATCTAGAAGGTTACAGGTTTATTTAATGTCTTGTCAGCACAAGCACAGATGAGAAATAGTTGGTAAGAATTTCCTCAAAAACCCAACTATTAAACATGAGACAAATGTGGTATCTATACAATGTTGCCTTTTAAAATTATCCTTAAAGAAATTCTCACTCGGCAGGTTCAGTCTTTTGTTTCTTTCTGAAGTCAGCACACATTGGATGATTAACAGCATGACCTTGCAGCATTTATGGGAGAGAATGTGGGAGTAGGAAGCAGACAAGGGAATACAGACCTTCAGTAGTGGAAACTGAATCCCCCCCCCCCTTATGCCTAGTCAGGGTGTGCTTTATAAAAAGTTATATGCAAAGAAAGAGAATTTGTTGAAGATCTAAGCAGAAGTTGCTGTTGCTGCAAGTGGGAGAGGTCTTCATAGGAATTCAAAGAATGGTGTAGAAAGTACCTCTACTGTAGCATACTTATGCTGTCCGTAGAGCTCAAGTGGAATTTATTTTATTACTGTTGAGTTTTCTGAATCTGCAAAGTATTGCAAAATAAATAAAGGGAAAACACCCTTCTCAGGGAAATGTCAGGAGTGTTTTTCTGTAAGCTGAGTGCAGTTGGCATTTTACAATGGAAAATACATTTCCTTTCCCTTTTCTACAACACATGTTTTTGTCACAGTTCCCCTAATACACAAAGTACCAAAGTGACAGTGTTGTCACTTCTTTCCTCTATCAGGAGCTAGGGCATATATGACATTGGTGAAATCTGACCCAGTTCATTCACTATAGACTGTTATCAAGTGCTAAGGGATCAAGGAAAACGAAGGGTTGGGGCATGATGAGGTTAAATACTACTATAGGATTAGGCCAGACTGTAGTCCAGTGGAACAGGCAATGTGCCAAATTCCTTTTTGGAGTTCAACTCCAGAGAGGCCACCCAAGAGAGAACACAGAAAAGAAATTAAGGAGGTGGGTGCAATGTGTGAAACTAAGAACAGGTAACAGAGCATTTTTAAATCTGTCTCTGGAACTTCAGTGTATATGCATTTCACACATAACCCTTAAACACACTCATGAAAGAATGGGAAGCTATTCTATGGGTTGCCAACATGCAGCCTTGGGAATGTGTCTAAGGGTGGATCTAGGAATTTACACCCACTCCACGTTCTCAATTTGAATGTCAAAACACAAGATTAATTAAAGTGGGGTGCGGAAGGGAAGTTCAGTTGTACACTAAACAAATTGGTACAGTATGTAAAACATAAGTCCTGATCCTAACCTTGACTGTTTTATTTTCCTAGCATGAAGTTTGCCTAATTCATTGATACTGCACACTGCCATTTTCATTGAACTCTCCATCATGACCCCAATATGTTTCCTGAATAGGAATATGAATTTTATATATGTCACTGCCAATTCAGTCTTTTTGAGAAATTAGGATTTAAAAAAAATAAAAATCTGTTTTCATCAGGTTAAACTCACTTACATTTGCCCCAGGGGAAAGATCCTTTCTGCCTCTTAGTCTTACAGTTTTCTTGCATACATCCATATCTGCTTAACCACCATTCCCCTTATCCCCTTTTTGGAGTTCAAAGAAGAATGGTAAGGCAGTTCCTATTAAATAACTCAAAGCTAATATTTCATTGCATAAACAGGGTCATGCCTGTTGCTGACACTTCTGATTCCATAGTTCTTGGATATTGAAGTACTGGCCCAAAAGTCCTGAGGAAACTGGACCATTCCATGGGATCAGTTCCCCCTTGTAAGCAATGGATTGAGCAATGAATTGAGCTTCACCACATGCTGGTTTAAATCTGTTCTTTCAGGTTTACTCTTAAAAGCTTATTTTGGACTTTCCAAAGTAGGATAAAAATACTGTTATATAAAATCAGTCAAATTTTGTTTCCTTGAGTTCAAGTACTCAACTTTTGAGATTATCAGCAATATATTTAAATATACACAAAAAAGAAAAACAGTTAAATTATTTGATGGTGGCTCTTGGGAGAATCTGGGGGAAGGGGTACATTTTGTTTGACATAATAAGTAAAAAAATCTGCAATATCTTCCTGATTCCCCCAGACCAAGAGCTGTGAAGACTCCTCTTTCCATTTCCTACCAATCGGAAAAGAAAAAGTTTCTTCATAGCACAATAGTACAGAGGAAAGCAGGGAATGTCCTCATAGAACATTTATTTGATCTCTTTTCCTACTAGGGACGCGGGTGGCACTGTGGGTTAAACCACAGAGCCTAGGGCTTGCCGATCAGAAGGTCGGCGGTTCGAATCCCCGCGACGGGGTGAGCTCCCGTTGCTCGGTCCCTGCTCCTGCCAACCTAGCAGTTCTAAAGCACATCAAAGTGCAAGTAGATAAATAGGTACAGCTCCGGCGGGAAGGTAAACGGCGTTTCCGTGCGCTGCTCTGGTTCGCCAGAAGTCGATTAGTCATGCTGGCCACATGACCTAGAAGCTGTACGCCGGCTCCCTCGGCCAATAAAGCGAGATGAGTGCCGCAACCCCAGAGTCGGCCACGACTGGACCTAATGGTCAGGGGTCCCTTTACCTTTCCTACTAGAGATGAGAATTGGGGACAAAAATTTGCACCTGCTGTCCTTCCCCATGCACACCTCTGCAGTTTAGTACTGCAGGTATACTGGGAAGATGGTAACTGTAGCAATGTTTTCAATTTTAAGCAGGAAACATCAGCAGAAAGGGTTAAATCTGTTTGAACCCCTCTGCAGCCTGCCCCATGTGTGGCGCTAGTACACGCTAAAATCGTGTGACAACAGACCTGTTCTAAGCAGGAGCAATAGTTTCTGTTTGCATAATCTCAGAACAAGGTGATTTTGTAATCTGTTTGTATCAGCAATGAATTGTGTAGATAGACTTTTTCCTTCTGGGGTTCTTGTATGTGCCAGGATGGTTAAAAGAGAAGACAGCTGGGGATAAGTACATATGTACTCTAAAGCTGTTCTGGGAATGGCCTTTAGAAACAATTATTTCTAGGACTACAGTCAGAGATGAAGATAATTTTCACACGTGATATTTAAATCGGCTTTGTTTTAAATCTGCTTATAATGTGAACGTACATTGGTTGGGCAGTGTATTTTCTGGTTTGTTTTTTTCTGAATTCCATTCTGTATTAACAGTATTTGTTATCTAACTGTTGAATTGTTTTAGATCTTTGCTAGTTTATGAGACAATATTTGTAAGCCATCTCCAGCTCACTGGAAGCAGCATGCATTAGCAACATACAGCTTGTGGACTTGTATATGCCAAAAAAATGCAATGGAAAACATATTTAAATAAATAAGCAGAAAAGGCAAGCCCCTGCCTTCAAGAAACCTATGGTCTAAATAATGGACATGAGTACTATTATAAAGAGACTGTCTCAACTTTCCTCCCACCTTTAAAAGAACTCTTCATAATTTCTTTTCCAACTTCTCTTACCTAGCATTTCTATGACCTTTCCACCCTGGGGACAGCATGGCGTTTGGAAAGAGTGTATTTGGTATGAAGTATGACAGAAGTGTCATTTATGCATGTTTAAAAATATATATTTAGCTCCTTTTGTGGTTTTAATATGTGTTCAATAACAGTTGTTTACTGAAGGATAGTTGTAAAAACAGGAAATGGTGAGGGGGTAATTTGGCATTTCTATCCTTATACCTTATAAAAACAAAACAAAACCCAGAACTGGTAAAGGAAAAGTGTTTGGTAAGTGGAGAAGAGAGGGAGGGAGGCTGGAAATATTTGTAATATATTATTGCTAGCTATAGGAGAGTCTTATGACTAAATTTGGAGAAAAATGTTTGCTTAATAATTAGCTTGAAGAGTTGAACTTTGG